GTACCCACCCTCACGTACCCACCCTCACGTACCCACCCTCACGTACCCACCCTCACGTACCCACCCTCACGTACCCACCCTCACGTACCCACCCCTCACGTACCCACCCTCACGTACCCACCCTCACGTACCCACCCTCACGTACCCACCCCTCACGTACCCACCCCTCACGTACCCACCCCTCACGTACCCACCCTCACGTACCCACCCTCACGTACCCACCCTCACGTACCCACCCTCACGTACCCACCCTCACGTACCCCCCCTCACGTACCCACCCCTACCCCCTCACGTACCCACCCCTCACGTACCCACCCCTCACGTACCCCCTCACCCCACCCTCACGTACCCACCCCTCACGTACCCACCCTCACGTACCCACCCCTCACGTACCCACCCCTCACGTACCCCACCCCTCACGTACCCACCCTCACGTACCCCCCCTCACGTACCCACCCTCACGTACCCACCCTCACGTACCCACCCTCACGTACCCACAACCCCTGCGCTCTTCAGCAGCAGATGCACAGAGTAACAGGACAGTCCAGCGATACTGGTCAGCAGGATCCTGAAACACACACACACACAAACATGTGAAACACACACACACATAGCTGAAATACACACACAAACACCGCTGAAACACACATAAACACCTGAAACACACACACAGCTGAAACACACACACCGCTGAAACACACACACCGCTGAAACACACACACCGCTGAAACACACACACACCTGAAACACACACACACCTGAAACACACACACACCGCTGAAACACACAAACATCTGAAACGCGCACACAGACGCACACCCCAGTCTTCCTCGTATGCAGCAGGTTTATAAAGGGATAGAGTGATACGGACTCACTAGAACCAAAAAGCCTGTCTGCGCCTGCCTGCGCCTGCCTGTCTGCGCCTGTCTGTCTGCGCCTGTCTGTCTGCGCCTGTCTGTCTGCGCCTGTCTGTCTGCGCCTGTCTGTCTGCGCCTGTCTGTCTGCGCCTGTCTGTCTGCGCCTGTCTGTCTGCGCCTGTCTGTCTGCGCCTGTCTGTCTGCGCCTGTCTGCTCTGCGCCTGTCTGTCTGCGCCCTTCTGCGCCTGTGTCTGCGCCTGTTGTCTGCGCCTGTCTGTCTGCGCCTGTCTGTCTGCGCCTGTCTGTCTGCGCCTGTCTGTCTGCGCCTGTCTGTCTGCGCCTGTCTGTCTGCCTGTCTGTCTGCGCCTGTCTGTCTGCGCCTGTCTGTCTGCGCCTGTCTGTCTGCGCCTGTCTGTCTGCGCCTGTCTGTCTGCGCCTGTCTGTCTGCGCCTGTCTGTCTGCGCCTGTCTGTCTGCGCCTGTGTCTGCGCCTGCCTGTCTGCGCCTGCCTGTCTGCGCCTGCCTGTCTGCGCCTGTCTGTCTGCGCCTGTCTGCCTGCGCCCGCCTGCCTGCGCCTGTGTCTGCCTGCGCCCGCCTGCCTGCGCCCGCCTGCCTGCGCCCGCCTGCCTGCGCCCGCCTGCCTGCGCCCGCCTGCCTGCGCCCGCCTGTCTGCGCCTGCCTGTGTGTATGTGCATGTGAATGTGTGTATGTGTATGTGCATGTGAATGTGTGTATGTGCATGTGAATGTGCGTGTGCGTATGTGCATGTGAATGTGCGTGTGCGTATGTGCATGTGAATGTGTGTGTGTGTATGTGCATGTGAATGTGCGTGTGCGTATGTGTGTGTGTCTCACAGGAAGAGGATGATCCCAGTGTTGGACATGGCGTAGGACAGGCCCAGGATCCCACTGCCCATGATGGCATTACTGAGATTAAACACGGACATCCCAAAGGACGTCTTCCCCTCAAACTGCAACACAAACACACAACTCACAACACAACAGCCTCAGTCCTGGGTCTACAGCCTCAGTCCTGGGTCTACAGCCTCAGTCCTGGGTCTACAGCCTCGGTCCTCACGTCTGTGAATTGGTGTCTCCTTGAGGACCCAGGTTTTTCCGGCAGAAACCTCTCCTCCTCAGGCAGCGCTCTGAAGCAAAAAACAAAAGCTTCTTTTAAAACATGTGGTCTCATGTGAAATAAGTATTTTTGGTAATACATAAATAAAACAGGCCCTCCCGTTGCCATGACAAACACCAGAGGATTCAGATTTTAAATAAAAGTGTCCAATCAGGAGCTGTATGAGCCGACGTCTAGAATAAGATCTACACATTATGTCACAAGTGAAAATCATTTCTTCACTCGTTCATTGGCGTCGGCGTCGGCGTTAGCGTTAGCATTAGCGTTAGTGTTAGTGTTAGCGTTAGCCTCAGTGCAGACTCACCCCTCTTCAGCCGACGGGTCGTGGAGCTGTTCCCCGTTTGCAAACTTCTGCAGTTCCATCTTGTTTTAGCAGTTCGACAGAAATCACAAAACTGAAAAAATATAACAAGATATTTTAGAGAGAGACCAGAGAGAGAGACCAGAGAGAGAGACCAGAGAGAGGGACCAGAGAGAGAGACCAGAGAGAGACCAGAGAGAGACCAGAGAGACCAGAGAGAGACCAGAGAGAGACCAGAGAGAGACCAGAGAGAGACCAGAGAGACCAGAGAGAGACCAGAGAGAGAGACCAGAGAGAGTGACCAGAGAGAGTGACCAGCGAGAGAGACCAGAGAGAGAGACCAGAGAGAGTGACCAGAGAGAGTGACCAGAGAGAGACCAGAGAGAGAGACCAGAGAGACCAGAGAGAGACCAGAGAGAGAGACCAGAGAGAGACCAGAGAGAGACCAGAGAGACCAGAGAGAGACCAGAGAGAGAGACCAGAGAGAGACCAGAGAGAGAGACCAGAGAGAGGGACCAGAGAGAGAGACCAGAGAGAGAGACCAGCGAGAGAGACCAGCGAGAGAGAGCAGCGAGAGTGACCAGCGAGAGAGACCAGAGAGAGAGACCAGAGAGAGAGACCAGAGAGAGACCAGAGAGAGAGACCAGAGAGAGAGACCAGCGAGAGAGAGCAGCGAGAGTGACCAGCGAGAGAGACCAGCGAGAGAGACCAGCGAGAGAGACCAGAGAGAGAGACCAGAGAGAGAGACCAGCGAGAGAGAGCAGCGAGAGTGACCAGCGAGAGAGACCAGAGAGAGAGACCAGAGAGAGAGACCAGAGAGGGATCAGAGAGAGAGACCAGCGAGAGAGACCAGAGAGAGAGACCAGAGAGAGAGACCAGAGAGAGAGACCAGAGAGAGAGACCAGAGAGAGAGACCAGAGAGAGAGACCAGAGAGAGAGACCAGAGAGAGAGACCAGAGAGAGAGACCAGAGAGAGGGACCAGAGAGAGAGACCAGCGAGAGAGACCAGCGAGAGAGAGCAGCGAGAGTGACCAGCGAGAGAGACCAGAGAGAGAGACCAGAGAGAGAGACCAGAGAGAGACCAGAGAGAGAGACCAGAGAGAGAGACCAGCGAGAGAGAGCAGCGAGAGTGACCAGCGAGAGAGACCAGCGAGAGAGACCAGCGAGAGAGAGCAGCGAGAGTGACCAGCGAGAGAGACCAGAGAGAGAGACCAGAGAGAGAGACCAGAGAGAGACCAGAGAGAGAGACCAGAGAGAGAGACCAGCGAGAGAGAGCAGCGAGAGTGACCAGCGAGAGAGAGCAGCGAGAGTGACCAGCGAGAGAGACCAGAGAGAGAGACCAGAGAGAGAGACCAGCGAGAGAGAGCAGCGAGAGTGACCAGCGAGAGAGACCAGAGAGAGAGACCAGAGAGAGAGACCAGAGAGGGATCAGAGAGAGAGACCAGCGAGAGAGAGCAGCGAGAGTGACCAGCGAGAGTGACCAGCGAGAGAGACCAGAGAGAGGAACCAGAGAGAGAGAACAGAGAGAGAGACCAGTGCTGGTGCACACTGGGGACTCCTGCTGGAAAAGAGAGGTATTCCAAACATTGATAGATTGAGGTCCCGAGACTCAGACTCAGACCCAGACTCAGACCCAGACTCAGACCCAGACTCAGACCCAGACTCAGACTCAGACTCAGACTCAGACTCAGACCCAGACTCAGACCCAGACTCAGACTCAGACCCAGACTCAGACCCAGACTCAGACCCAGACTCAGACCCAGACTCAGACCCAGACTCAGACTCAGACTCAGACTCAGACCCAGACTCAGACCCAGACTCAGACTCAGACCCAGACTCAGACCCAGACTCAGACCCAGACTCAGACCCAGACCCAGACCCAGACTCAGACTCAGACTCAGACTCAGACCCAGACTCAGACCCAGACCCAGACCCAGACTCAGACCCAGACCCAGACTCAGACCCAGACTCAGACCCAGACTCAGACCCAGACTCAGACCCAGACTCAGACCCAGACTCAGACCCAGACTCAGACCCAGACTCAGACCCAGACTCAGACCCAGACCCAGACCCAGACTCAGACCCAGACCCAGACCCAGACCCAGACTCAGACCCAGACTCAGACCCAGACTCAGACCCAGACTCAGACCCAGACTCAGACCCAGACTCAGACCCAGACTCAGACCCAGACTCAGACCCAGACTCAGACTCAGACTCAGACCCAGACCCAGACTCAGACCCAGACTCAGACCCAGACTCAGACCCAGACTCAGACCCAGACTCAGACCCAGACTCAGACCCAGACTCAGACCCAGACTCAGACCCAGACTCAGACCCAGACTCAGACTCAGACTCAGACCCAGACTCAGACCCAGACTCAGACCCAGACTCAGACTCAGACTCAGACTCAGACCCAGACTCAGACCCAGACTCAGACCCAGACTCAGACCCAGACCCAGACCCAGACCCAGACCCAGACTCAGACCCAGACTCAGACCCAGACCCAGACCCAGACTCAGACCCAGACCCAGACCCAGACTCAGACCCAGACTCAGACCCAGACTCAGACCCAGACTCAGACCCAGACTCAGACCCAGACTCAGACCCAGACTCAGACCCAGACCCAGACCCAGACCCAGACCCAGACCCAGACTCAGACCCAGACTCAGACCCAGACTCAGACCCAGACTCAGACCCAGACTCAGACCCAGACTCAGACCCAGACTCAGACCCAGACTCAGACTCAGACTCAGACTCAGACCCAGACTCAGACCCAGACTCAGACCCAGACTCAGACCCAGACTCAGACCCAGACTCAGACCCAGACTCAGACTCAGACCCAGACCCAGACCCAGACTCAGACCCAGACCCAGACTCAGACCCAGACTCAGACCCAGACCCAGACTCAGACTCAGACCCAGACCCAGACTCAGACCCAGACTCAGACCCAGACCCAGACCCAGACCCAGACTCAGACCCAGACTCAGACCCAGACTCAGACCCAGACTGCACTTTAGTGTCTCTCTAAACCACCAGCGATTCTCCAACACAGATCAGAGAATCAAACTGTCCTTTTGGACCAATGTCTGTTTTTATCATTGTCCTTCTCTGTCTCTGGACCGTCTGATTCTCTGATCTGTGACGGAGAATCCACAGTTTTGTAAAGTCCTTCCAGAGAACCACTGTTTCATAATCACTTTACAATGATTCTTTATCTTTGGTGAAGATCAACGAGACACAGGCGGCTGTCTCGGGCTTTCTCTCACTGCCTCGGGCTTTCTCTCACTGCCTCGGGCTTTCTCTCACTGCCTCGGGCTTTCTCTCACTGCCTCGGGCTTTCTCTCACTGTCTCGGGCTTTCTCTCACTGTCTCGGGCTTTCTCTCACTGCCTCGGGCTTTCTCTCACTGCCTCGGGCTTTCTCTCACTGCCTCGGGCTTTCTCTCACTGCCTCAGGCTTTCTCTCACTGTCTCGGGCTTTCTCTCACTGTCTCGGGCTTTCTCTCACTGTCTCGGGCTTTCTCTCACTGTCTCGGGCTTTCTCTCACTGCCTCGGGCTTTCTCTCACTGTCTCGGGCTTTCTCTCACTGCCTCGGGCTTTCTCTCACTGCCTCGGGCTTTCTCTCACTGCCTCGGGCTTTCTCTCACTGCCTCGGGCTTTCTCTCACTGCCTCGGGCTTTCTCTCACTGTCTCGGGCTTTCTCTCACTGTCTCGGGCTTTCTCTCACTGTCTCGGGCTTTCTCTCACTGTCTCGGGCTTTCTCTCACTGCCTCGGGCTTTCTCTCACTGCCTCGGGCTTTCTCTCACTGTCTCGGGCTTTCTCTCACTGCCTCGGGCTTTCTCTCACTGTCTCGGGCTTTCTCTCACTGTCTCGGGCTTTCTCTCACTGCCTCGGGCTGTCTCGGGCTGCCTCAGGCTTTCTCTCACTGTCTCGGGCTTTCTCTCACTGTCTCGGGCTTTCTCTCACTGCCTCGGGCTTTCTCTCACTGCCTCAGGCTTTCTCTCACTGTCTCGGGCTTTCTCTCACTGTCTCGGGCTGTCTCGGGCTGCCTCAGGCTTTCTCTCACTGTCTCGGGCTGCCTCGGGCTGTCTCGGGCTTTCTCTCACTGTCTCGGGCTGTCTCGGGCTTTCTCTCACTGTCTCGGGCTTTCTCTCACTGCCTCGGGCTTTCTCTCACTGCCTCGGGCTTTCTCTCACTGCCTCGGGCTTTCTCTCACTGCCTCGGGCTTTCTCTCACTGCCTCAGGCTTTCTCTCACTGCCTCAGGCTTTCTCTCACTGCCTCAGGCTTTCTCTCACTGTCTCGGGCTTTCTCTCACTGCCTCGGGCTTTCTCTCACTGTCTCGGGCTTTCTCTCACTGTCTCGGGCTTTCTCTCACTGTCTCGGGCTTTCTCTCACTGTCTCGGGCTGCCTCGGGCTGTCTCGGGCTTTCTCTCACTGACTCGGGCTTTCTCTCACTGTCTCGGGCTGTCTCGGGCTTTCTCTCACTGCCTCGGGCTTTCTCTCACTGTCTCGGGCTGCCTCGGGCTGTCTCGGGCTTTCTCTCACTGCCTCGGGCTGTCTCGGGCTTTCTCTCACTGTCTCGGGCTTTCTCTCACTGCCTCGGGCTTTCTCTCACTGTCTCGGGCTTTCTCTCACTGCCTCGGGCTGTCTCGGGCTTTCTCTCACTGTCTCGGGCTTTCTCTCACTGCCTCGGGCTGTCTCGGGCTTTCTCTCACTGTCTCGGGCTTTCTCTCACTGTCTCGGGCTTTCTCTCACTGTCTCGGGCTTTCTCTCACTGTCTCGGGCTGTCTCGGGCTTTCTCTCACTGCCTCGGGCTTTCTCTCAATGTCTCGGGCTTTCTCGGGCTGTCTCGGGCAGTCACTGCTGGATCAAAGTGCCCCAGGGCAGCATTAAGGCGTTGGGTAAACACACATGGTACAGTGTTTATGGTCACAGGCTGAACCCCGGGCCCCTCTGCTCCTCTACAATTTATAGGGACAAGGAGGAGACCAGGAGGACACCAGAAGGAGACAGGAAGGGACCAGGAGGAGACCAGAAGGAGACCAGGAGGAGACCAGAAGGAGACCAGGAGGAGACCAGAAGGAGACCAGGAGGAGACCAGTAGGAGACCAGGAAGAGACCAGGAGGAGACCAGGACGAGACCAGGAGGAGACCAAGAAGAGACCAGGAGGAGACCAAGAAGAAACCAGGAGACAAGAAGAAACCAGGAGACAAGAAGAAACCAGGAGGAGACAGGAAGAGACCAGGAGGAAACAGGAAGAGACCAGAAGGAGACCAGGAGGAGACCAGGAGGAGACCAGGAGGAAACAGGAAGAGACCAGAAGGAGACCAGGAGGAGACCAGGAGGAGACCAGGAGGAGACCAGGAGGAGACCAGGAGGAGACCAGGAGGAGACCAGGAGGAGACCAGGAGGAGACCAGGAGGAGACCAGGAGGAGACCAGAAGGAGACCAGGAGGAGACCAGGAGGAGACCAGGAGGAGACCAGGAGGAGACCAGAAGGAGACCAGGAGGAGACCAGGACGAGATCAGGAGGAGACCAGTAGGAGACCAGGAGGAGACCAGGAGGAGACCAGGAGGAGACCAGAAGGAGACCGGGAGGAGACCAGAAGGAGACCAGGAGGAGACCAGGACGAGACCAGGAGGAGACCAAGAAGAAACCAGGAGGAGACAGGAAGAGACCAGAAGGAGACCAGAAGGAGACCAGGAGGAGACCAGGAGGAGACCAGGAGGAGACCAGGAGGAGACCAGGAGGAGACCAGAAGGAGACCAGAAGGAGACCAGAAGGAGACCAGAAGGAGACCAGGAGGAGACCAGGAGGAAACAGGAAGAGACCAGAAGGAGACCAGAAGGAGACCAGGAGGAGACCAGGAGGAGACCAGGAGGAGACCAGGAGGAGACCAGGAGGAGACCAGGAGGAGACCAGAAGGAGACCAGAAGGAGACCAGGAGGAGACCAGGACGAGATCAGGAGGAGACCAGTAGGAGACCAGGAGGAGACCAGGAGGAGACCAGGAGGAGACCGGGAGGAGACCAGAAGGAGACCAGGAGGAGACCAGGACGAGACCAGGAGGAGACCAAGAAGAAACCAGGAGGAGACAGGAAGAGACCAGAAGGAGACCAGAAGGAGACCAGGAGGAGACCAGGAGGAGACCAGAAGGAGACCAGGAGGAGACCAGGAGGAGACCAGGAGGAGACCAGGAGGAGACCAGGAGGAGACCAGGAGGACACCAGGAGGAGACCAGGAGGACACCAGAAGGAGACCAGGAGGAGACCAGGAAGAGACCAGGAGGAGACCAGAAGAAGACCAGAAGGAGACCAGGAGGAGATCAGGAGGAGACCAGGACGAGACCAGGAGGAGACCAGGAGGAGACCAGAAGGAGACCAGGAGGAGACCAGGAGGAGACCAGGAGGAGACCAGAAGGAGACCAGGAGGAGACCAGGAGGAGACCAGGAGGAGACCAGAAGGAGACCAGGAGGAGACCAGGAGGAGACCAGGAGGACACCAGGAGGAGACCAGGAGGACACCAGGAGGAGACCAGGAGGAGACCAGGAGGAGACCAGGAGGAGACCAGGAGGAGACCAGGAGGAGACCAGGACGAGACCAGGAGGAGACCAGGACGAGACCAGGAGGAGACCAGGAGGAGACCAAGAAGAAACCTTGGAGGAGACTAGAAGAAACCAGTCGGAGACTAGAAGAAACCAGGAGGAGACTAGAAGAAACCAGGAGGAGACCAGAAGGAGACCAGGAGGAGACCAGGAGGAGACCAGGAGGAGACCAGGAGGAGACAGGAAGAGACCAGGAGGAGACCAGAAGGAGACCAGGAGGAGACAGGAAGAGACCAGGAGGAGACAGGAAGAGACCAGGAGGAAACAGGAAGAGACCAGAAGGAGACCAGAAGGAGACCAGAAGGAGTCACTGCTGGATCAAAGTGCCCCAGGGCAGCATTAAGGCGTTGGGTAAACACACATGGTACAGTGTTTATGGTCGCAGGCTGAACCCCAGGCCCCTCTGCTCCTCTACAATTTATAGGGACAAGGAGGAGACCAGGAGGACACCAGAAGGAGACAGGAAGGGACCAGGAGGAGACCAGAAGGAGACCAGTAGGAGACCAGGACGAGACCAGGAGGAGACCAAGAAGAGACCAGGAGGAGACCAAGAAGAAACCAGGAGGAGACAAGAAGAAACCAGGAGGAGACAAGAAGAAACCAGGAGGAGACAGGAAGAGACCAGGAGGAAACAGGAAGAGACCAGAAGGAGACCAGGAGGAGACCAGGAGGAGACCAGGAGGAGACCAGGAGGAGACCAGGAGGAGACCAGAAGGAGACCAGGAGGAGACCAGGAGGAGACCAGAAGGAGACCAGGAGGAGACCAGGACGAGATCAGGAGGAGACCAGTAGGAGACCAGTAGGAGACCAGGAGGAGACCAGGAGGAGACCAGGAGGAGACCAGGAGGAGACCAGGAGGAGACCAGGAGGAGACCGGGAGGAGACCAGAAGGAGACCAGGAGGAGACCAGGACGAGACCAGGAGGAGACCAAGAAGAAACCAGGAGGAGACAGGAAGAGACCAGAAGGAGACCAGAAGGAGACCAGGAGGAGACCAGGAGGAGACCAGAAGGAGACCAGGAGGAGACCAGGAGGAGACCAGGAGGAGACCAGAAGGAGACCAGGAGGAGACCAGGAGGAGACCAGGAGGACACCAGGAGGAGACCAGGAGGACACCAGGAGGAGACCAGGAGGAGACCAGGAGGAGACCAGGAGGAGACCAGGAGGAGACCAGAAGGAGACCAGGAGGAGACCAGGACGAGATCAGGAGGAGACCAGGACGAGACCAGGAGGAGACCAGGAGGAGACCAAGAAGAAACCTTGGAGGAGACTAGAAGAAACCAGGAGGAGACTAGAAGAAACCAGGAGGAGACCAGAAGGAGACCAGGAGGAGACCAGGAGGAGACCAGAAGGAGACAGGAAGAGACCAGGAGGAGACAGGAAGAGACCAGGAGGAGACCAGAAGGAGACCAGGAGGAGACCAAGAAGAAACCAGGAGGAGACAGGAAGAGACCAGGAGGAGACAGGAAGAGACCAGGAGGAAACAGGAAGAGACCAGAAGGAGACCAGAAGGAGACCAGGAGGAGACCAGGAGGAGACCAGGAGGAGACCAGAAGGAGACCAGGAGGAGACCAGGAGGAGACCAGGAGGAGACCAGGAGGAGACCAGGAGGAGACCAGGAGGAGACCAGAAGGAGACCAGGAGGAGACCAGGAGGAGACCAGGACGAGACCAGGAGGAGACCAGGAGGAGACCAGGAGGAGACCAGGAGGAGACCAGGAGGAGACCAGGAGGAGACCAGGAGGAGACCAGGAGGAGACCAGGACGAGACCAGGAGGAGACCAGAGAGAGACCAGAAGGAGACCAGGAGGAGACCAGAAGGAGACCAGAAGGAGACCAGGAGGAGACCAGGAGGAGACCAGGAGGAGACCAGAGGAGACCAGGAGGAGACCAGGAGGAGACCAGGAGGAGACCAGGAGGAGACCAGGAGGACACCAGGAGGAGACCAGGAGGACACCAGAAGGAGACCAGGAGGAGACCAGGAAGAGACCAGGAGGAGACGAAGAAGACCAGAAGGAGACCAGGAGGAGACCAGGACGAGATCAGGAGGAGACCAGGACGAGACCAGGAGGAGACCAGGAGGAGACCAAGAAGAAACCTTGGAGGAGACTAGAAGAAACCAGTCGGAGACTAGAAGAAACCAGGAGGAGACTAGAAGAAACCAGGAGGAGACCAGAAGGAGACCAGGAGGAGACCAGGAGGAGACCAGGAGGAGACCAGGAGGAGACAGGAAGAGACCAGGAGGAGACCAGAAGGAGACCAGGAGGAGACAGGAAGAGACCAGGAGGAGACAGGAAGAGACCAGGAGGAAACAGGAAGAGACCAGAAGGAGACCAGAAGGAGACCAGAAGGAGTCACTGCTGGATCAAAGTGCCCCAGGGCAGCATTAAGGCGTTGGGTAAACACACATGGTACAGTGTTTATGGTCGCAGGCTGAACCCCAGGCCCCTCTGCTCCTCTACAATTTATAGGGACAAGGAGGAGACCAGGAGGACACCAGAAGGAGACAGGAAGGGACCAGGAGGAGACCAGAAGGAGACCAGGAGGAGACCAGTAGGAGACCAGTAGGAGACCAGGACGAGACCAGGAGGAGACCAAGAAGAGACCAGGAGGAGACCAAGAAGAGACCAGGAGGAGACCACGAAGAAACCAGGAGGAGACAAGAAGAAACCAGGAGGAGACAAGAAGAAACCAGGAGGAGACAGGAAGAGACCAGGAGGAAACAGGAAGAGACCAGAAGGAGACCAGGAGGAGACCAGGAGGAGACCAGGAGGAGACCAGGAGGAGACCAGGAGGAGACCAGAAGGAGACCAGGAGGAGACCAGGAGGAGACCAGAAGGAGACCAGGACGAGATCAGGAGGAGACCAGTAGGAGACCAGTAGGAGACCAGGAGGAGACCAGGAGGAGACCAGGAGGAGACCAGGAGGAGACCAGGAGGAGACCAGAAGGAGACCGGGAGGAGACCAGAAGGAGACCAGGAGGAGACCAGGACGAGACCAGGAGGAGACCAAGAAGAAACCAGGAGGAGACAGGAAGAGACCAGAAGGAGACCAGAAGGAGACCAGGAGGAGACCAGGAGGAGACCAGGAGGAGACCAGGAGGAGACCAGGAGGAGACCAGAAGGAGACCAGGAGGAGACCAGGAGGAGACCAGGAGGACACCAGGAGGAGACCAGGAGGACACCAGGAGGAGACCAGGAGGAGACCAGGAGGAGACCAGGAGGAGACCAGGAGGAGACCAGAAGGAGACCAGGAGGAGACCAGGACGAGATCAGGAGGAGACCAGGACGAGACCAGGAGGAGACCAGGAGGAGACCAAGAAGAAACCTTGGAGGAGACTAGAAGAAACCAGGAGGAGACTAGAAGAAACCAGGAGGAGACTAGAAGAAACCAGGAGGAGACCAGAAGGAGACCAGGAGGAGACCAGGAGGAGACCAGAAGGAGACAGGAAGAGACCAGGAGGAGACAGGAAGAGACCAGGAGGAGACCAGAAGGAGACCAGGAGGAGACCAAGAAGAAACCAGGAGGAGACAGGAAGAGACCAGGAGGAGACAGGAAGAGACCAGGAGGAAACAGGAAGAGACCAGAAGGAGACCAGAAGGAGACCAGGAGGAGACCAGGAGGAGACCAGGAGGAGACCAGGAGGAGACCAGGAGGAGACCAGGAGGAGACCAGGAGGAGACCAGGAGGAGACCAGGAGGAGACCAGGACGAGACCAGGAGGAGACCAAGAAGAAACCAGGAGGAGACAGGAAGAGACCAGGAGGAGACCAGGAGGAGACCAGGAGGAGACCAGGAGGAGACCAGGAGGAGACCAGGAGGAGACTGGAAGAGACCAGAAGGAGACCAGAAGGAGACCAGGAGGAGACCAGAAGGAGACCAGAAGGAGACCAGAAGGAGACCAGAAGGAGACCAGGAGGAGACCAGGAGGAGACCAGGAGGAGACCAGGAGGAGACCAGGACGAGACTAGGAGGAGACCAAGAAGAAACCAGGAGGAGACAGGAAGAGACCAGAAAGAGACCAGGAGGAGACCAGGAGGAGACCAGGAGGAGACCAGGAGGAGACCAGGAGGAGACCAGGAGGAGACCAGGAGGAGACCACAAGGAGACCACAAGGAGACAGGAAGAGACAGGAAAGGAGACCAGGAGGAGACAGGAGGAGGACACAGGAAGAGACAGGAGGACACAGGAGGAGACCAGGAGGAGACCAGGAGGAGACCAGGAGGAGACCAGGAGGAGACCACAAGGAGACCACAAGGAGACAGGAAGAGACAGGAAAGGAGACCAGGAGGAGACAGGAGGAGGACACAGGAAGAGACAGGAGGAGACAGGAGGAGACCAGGAGGAGACCAGGAGGAGACCAGGAGGAAACAGGAAGGGACCAGAAGGAGACCAGAAGGAGACAGGAGGAGACCAGAAGGAGACAGGAAAAGACAGTAAGAGACAGGAAGAGACAGGCGGAGACCAGGCGGAGACCAGGAGGAGACCAGGAGGAGGACACAGGAGGAGACCAGGAGGAGACCAGAAGGAGACCAGAAGGAGACAGGAGGAGACAGGAGGAGACCAGAAGGAGACCAGAAGGAGACAGGAGGAGACCACAAGGAGACAGGAAGAGACAGGAAAGGACACGAGGAGACAGGAGGAGGACACAGGAAGAGACAGGAAGGGACAGGAGGAGACCAGGAGGAGACCAGGAGGAGACAGGAAGGGACCAGAAGGAGACAGGAGGAGACCAGAAGGAGACAGGAAAGGACCAGAAGGAGACCAGGAGGAAACAGAAAGGGACCAGAAGGAGACAGGAGGAGGACGCAGGAGGAGACCAGGAGGAGGAGACCAGGAGGAGACCACAGCCTGAGAGCACAGGCCCCTCCCACCTCCAGCCTGAGCCCACAAGCCCCTCCCACCTCCAGCCTGAGAGCACAGGACCCTCCCACCTCCAGCCTGAGAGCACAGGCCCCTCCCACCTCCAGCCTGAGCGCACAGGCCCCTCCCACCTCCAGCCTGAGAGCACAGGCCCCTCCCACCTCCAGCCTGAGCGCACAGGACCCTCCCACCTCCAGCCTGAGAGCACAGGCCCCTCCCACCTCCAGCCTGAGCGCACAGGCCCCTCCCACCTCCAGCCTGAGAGCACAGGCCCCTCCCACCTCCAGCCTGAGCGCACAGGCCCCTCCCACCTCCAGCCTGAGAGCACAGGCCCCTCCCACCTCCCACCTCAGACCACAGGCTCCTACCTCCCACCTCAGTACCTGGGACCCTGGGAAGTCCTGGGTCCAGACCAGCTGTGCTCACATCACTGGGACACCACGGTCACTGATATAGATAGAAATACAGACAACTGTGGGACTAGGCCAGAGGTCCGTGTACGTCGCGGCCATTCTATTTTTGATTAGGAAAGAAAATACAAAAAACGAATATTGGCCGTTTCCCGTTTTCCGTTTTCAAAATAAAATGTAGAAAACGAGAATTTAATCCGTTTTTCGATTTTGTGTTTTAAAATTAAAAAACGGATAACGAAAAACAGGTCATAATCCGTTTTTCCATTACACATTTACACAAGAAACACCAACATCGAAAAACCACGGCAAAAATTTGATTTTCCATTCTTGATCTTATTTATAAGCTGACCCGGAATCTGTTAACCATGCCTACCACTATGCCACTAAGCGGCCGAAGTCACTCTACTTTGTGAGAAGACGTCAGCTGTTACAGTGGCTAACTAATTTGTCTTTTTTTCTACTTTAATAAGTTTTCAAATGGCCTTAAATAGTTTCGCCGACTTTATTATAGAGAGAAGGATGAGTGGTATGGCTTGTGGTGAGATCGCCAACGCGCTAACTGCACAGTTTGGTCCAACTGTGGGTTTCTCAGAGCGAAATGGTGCCAATCTTATCCACTGTCATGTCGACATCTTTTAAAGTAACCCGTTTGCTGTCTCGATACAAAACAAAAGTTTTCTCCAACTCTGGTATCTCCATTATCATTCAAAAAACTGGAAAACTCTGACTGTGCGGGAAAGCCTCAACAGCTTCCGGGTCAGCTTCAAAATAAGATCAAGAATGGAAAATCAAATTTTTGCCGTGGTTTTTCGATGTTGGTGTTTCTTGTGTAAATGTGTAATGGAAAAACGGATTATGACCTGTTTTTCGTTATCCGTTTTTTAATTTTAAAACACAAAATCGAAAAACGGATTAAATTCTCGTTTTCTACATTTTATTTTGAAAACGGAAAACGGGAAACGGCCAATATTCGTTTTTTGTATTTTCTTTCCTAATCAAAAATAGAATGGCCGCGACGTACACGGACCGCCAGACTGGTCCCAGACCAGAGAGAGAGACCAGAGAGAGAGACCAGAGAGAGAGACCAGAGAGAGAGACCCAGACTGGTCCCGGACCACTGCAGCTCCTCCAGTGTGGTCCTCCTGACCACCAGGGGGCAGAAGCACCCACTGTTCTCTCTGCACATGTGCAGGAAACAAGTGATACTTTCACTGGAGCACTTCCCCATGGTGGTCAGGAGGAAACAGAACGCCCAGTGGATTCAGGATGGGTCAAATGCAGACGACAGAGGGTCAAATGCAGACGACAGAGGGTCAAAGGCAGACGACAGAGGGTCAAAGGCGGACGACAGAGGGTCAAAGGCGGACGACAGAGGGTCAAAGGCAGACGACAGTGGGTCAAAGGCGGACGACAGAGGGTCAAAGGCGGACGACAGAGGGTCAAAGGCGGACGACAGAGGGTCAAAGGCGGACGACAGAGGGTCAAAGGCGGACGACAGAGGGTCAAAGGCAGACGACAGAGGGTCAAAGGCAGACGACAGAGGGTCAAAGGCGGACGACAGAGGGTCAAAGGCGGACGACAGAGGGTCAAAGGCGGACGACAGAGGGTCAAAGGCGGACGACAGAGGGTCAAAGGCGGACGACAGAGGGTCAAAGGCGGACGACAGAGGGTCAAAGGCAGACGACAGATGGTAAAAGGCAGACGACAGAGGGTCAAAGGCGGACGACAGAGGGTCAAAGGCGGACGACAGAGGGTCAAAGGCGGACGACAGAGGGTCAAAGGCGGACGACAGAGGGTCAAAGGCGGACGACAGAGGGTCAAAGGCGGACGACAAAGGGTCAAAGGCAGACGACAGAGGGTCAAAGGCGGACGACAGAGGGTCAAAGGCAGACGACAGAGGGTCCACAACAGAGGGTCAAATGCAGACGACATAGGGTCAAATGCAGACGACAGAGGGTCAAAGGCAGACGACAGAGGGTCAAAGGCAGACGACAGAGGGTCAACGACAGAAGGTCCAATGCAGACGACAGAGGGTCAAATGCAGACGACAGAGGGTCAAAGGCAGACGACAGAGGGTCAACGACAGAAGGTCCAATGCAGACAACAGAGGGTCAAATGCAGACGACAGAGGGTCAAAGGCAGACGACAGAGGGTCAACGACAGAAGGTCCAATACAGACAACAGAGGGTCAAATGCAGACGACAGAGGGTCAAATGCAGACAATAGAAGGTCAAAGGCAGACGACAGAGGGTCAAATACAGACAGAAGGTCAAATACAGACGACAGAGGGTCAAATGCAGACGACAGAGGGTCAACGACAGACGACAGAGGGTCAACGACAGACGACAGAGGGTCAACGGCAGACGACAGAGGGTCAAAGGCAGACGACAGAGGGTCAAAGGCAGACGACAGAGGGTCAAAGGCAGACGACAGAGGGTCAAAGGCAGACGACAGAGGGTCCACGACAGAGGGTCAAATGCAGACGACAGAGGGTCAAATGCAGACGACAGAGGGTCAAATGCAGACGACAGAGGGTCAACGACAGAAGGTCCAATGCAGACGACAGAAGGTCAAATGCAGACGACAGAAGGTCAAATGCAGACGACAGAAGGTCAAATGCAGACGACAGAAGGTCAAATGCAGACGACAGAAGGTCAAAGGCAGACGACAGGGTAAAAGGCAGACGACAGAGGGTCAAAGGCAGACGACAAAGGGTCAAAGGCAGACGACAGAGGGTCCACGACAGAAGGTCAAATGCAGACGACAGAGGGTCAAATGCAGACGACAAAGGGTCAAATGCAGACAACAGAGGGTCAACGACAGAAGGTCCAATGCAGACGACAGAGGGTCAAATGCAGACGACAGAGGGTCAAATGCAGACGACAGAGGGTCAAATGCAGACGACAGAGGGTCAAATGCAGACGACAGAGTCAAATGCAGACGACAAAGGTTCAAATGCAGATGACAGAGGGTCAAATGCAGATGACAGAGGGTCAAATGCAGATGACAGAGGGTCAAATGCAGACGACAGAGGGTCAAATGCAGACGACAGAGGGTCAAAGGCAGACGACAGAGGGTCAAAGGCAGACGACAGAGGGTCAAAGGCAGACGACAGAAGGTCCAATGCAGATGACAGAAGGTCAAATGCAGACGACAGAGGGTCAATTGCAGACGACAGAAGGTCAAATGCAGACGACAGAGGGTCAAATGCAGACGACAGAGGGTCAAATGCAGACGACAGAGGGTCAAATGCAGACGACAGAGGGTCAAATGCAGACGACAGGGTCAAATGCAGACGACAGGGTCAAATGCAGACAACAGAAGGTCAAATGCAGACGACAGGGTCAAATACAGACGACAGAAGGTCAAATACAGACGACAGAGGGTCAAACGCAGACAACAGAGGGTCAAACGCAGACGACAGAGGGTCAAACGCAGACAACAGAGGGTCAAACGCAGACAACAGAGGGTCAAACGCAGACGACAGGGTCAAACGCAGACGACAGGGTCAAATGCAGACGACAGAAGGTCAAATGCAGACAACAGAGGGTCAAACGCAGACAACAGAGGGTCAAACGCAGACAACAGAGGGTCAAAAGTAGACGACAGAGGGTCAAATGCAGACGACAGAGGGTCAAATGCAGACGACAGAAGGTCAAATGCAGACGACAGAAGGTCAAATGCAGACGACAGAAGGTCAAATGCAGACGACAGAAGGTCAAATGCAGACGACAGAAGGTCAAATGCAGACGACAGAAGGTCAAATGCAGACAACAGAAGGTCAAATGCAGACAACAGAAGGTCAAATGCAGACAACAGAAGGTCAAATGCACACAGACACACAGACACACACACAGAGACACAGACACACACACAGAGACACAGACACATACACACACACAGACACACACATACACACACGTGTACAAACACAAGCTTTGACTTTAGAGAAATGTGGATTGATTAAAGTCCAGTGTGTTTTTCTGACACTGTCAGGAGAAAACCTGCAGGATTGAACTGAGACTGTCTCTGCCACAGGGTCAGCTGGACCCTCTGGTGGGAGGGGCCGATGGCACAGACTGGTTGCCTGGTGTGTCCCTGGGCAGCTGTGGCTTCTGTAGTTTATCACCACTGTGTATGGAGTCAAAGAATAATGATGTGAAACGACTGGGAGTCTGAAAAGAACTGGATAAAATCAATGCAGTAGCAGCAGCAGTAGCAGAAGTAGCAGCAGTAGCAGAAGTAGCAGCAGTAGCAGAAGTAGCAGCAGTAGCAGAAGTAGCAGCAGAAGTAGCAGCAGTAGTAGTAGCAGAAGTAGCAGCAGTAGTAGTAGCAGCAGCAGTAGCAGCAGTAGCAGTAGTAGTAGCAGCAGCAGTAGCAGCAGCAGTAGCAGCAGTAGTAGCAGCAGCAGTAGTAGCAGAAGTAGCAGCAGTAGCAGAAGTAGCAGTAGCAGCAGTAGTAGTAGCAGTAGTAGCAGTAGTAGCAGCAGCAGCAGCAGCAGTTCTAGTAAAGTTCATAAATCGTGTGTGTGTTTTTACAGCCACAGAAACACACACATGCCCCAGCTCCTCCCACCTGAGCGCTCCAATCACATCACCCCCTGAGACACACCCCCGCCCCCCCTCCCCCCCGACACCCCCCTCCTCCCCCGACAGCCCCCTCGTCTAGAGCATGTTTGCCTTCCGCGGTCAGGAGTCCACCAAACACAGGGTCAGACACAGCTCCAGAGCCGTCACACAAAGACCACGCCCACAAACATGACAGTCCTGGAACTCCCACAGCCGTCATCTTGACTGCTCGAGGGAGCCTCGTGTTAGAAACGGAAATGAGAATCAAAGTAAAACCAATGGATCTGAAATGATTTTGCATCGAGTTGCAGATGCACTTCCAGAACATTTGGGTTACTGCTACAGCCGCACGTTACTGCTACAGCCGCACGTTACTACTACAGCCACACGTTACTGCTACAGCCGCACGTTACTACAGCCACACGTTACTGCTACAGCCGCACGTTACTGCTACAGCCGCACGTTACTACAGCCACACGTTACTGCTACAGCCACACGTTACTACAGCCGCACGTTACTGCTACAGCCGCACGTTACTGCTACAGCCACACGTTACTGCTACAGCCACACGTTACTGCTACAGCCACACGTTACTGCTACAGCCACACGTTACTACAGCCACACGTCACTGCTACAGCCGCACGTTACTACAGCCACACGTCACTGCTACAGCCGCACGTTACTACAGCCACACGTCACTGCTACAGCCACACGTTACTACAGCCACACGTCACTGCTACAGCCGCACGTTACTACAGCCACACGTTACTACAGCCACACGTCACTGCTACAGCCGCACGTTACTACAGCCACACGTCACTGCTACAGCCACACGTTACTACAGCCACACGTCACTGCTACAGCCGCACGTTACTACAGCCACACGTTACTACAGCCACACGTCACTGCTACAGCCACACGTTACTACAGCCACACGTCACTGCTACAGCCGCACGTTACTACAGCCACACGTTACTACAGCCACACGTAACTACTACAGCCGCACGTCACTGCTACAGCCACACGTCACTGCTACAGCCACACGTTACTACAGCCACACATTACTGCTACAGCCGCACGTTACTGCTACAGCCACACGTTACTACTACAGCCACACGTTACTACAGCCACACGTCACTGCTACAGCCGCACGTTACTACAGCCACACGTCACTGCTACAGCCGCACGTTACTACAGCCGCACGTTACTACAGCCACACGTTACTACAGCCACACGTTACTACAGCCACACGTTACTGCCGCACGTTACTACCGCACGTTACTACAGCCGCACGTTACTACAGCCGCACGTTACTACAGCCACACGTTACTACAGCCGCACGTTACTACAGCCGCACGTTACTACAGCCGCACGTTACTGCTACAGCCACACGTTACTGCTACAGCCACACGTTACTGCTACAGCCACACGTTACTGCTACAGCCACACGTTACTGCTACAGCCACACGTTACTGCTACAGCCACACGTTACTGCTACAGCCACACGTTACTGCTACAGCCACACGTCACTGCTACAGCCACACGTTACTACAGCCACACGTTACTACAGCCACACGTTACTGCTACAGCCGCACGTTACTACAGCCACACGTTACTGCTACAGCCGCACGTTACTACAGCCACACGTCACTGCTACAGCCACACGTTACTACAGCCACACGTTACTGCTACAGCCGCACGTTACTACAGCCACACGTCACTGCTACAGCCACACGTTACTGCTACAGCCACACGTTACTGCTACAGCCACACGTTACTGCTACAGCCACACGTTACTGCTACAGCCACACGTTACTGCTACAGCCACACGTTACTACAGCCACACGTTACTGCTACAGCCACACGTTACTGCTACAGCCACACGTCACTGCTACAGCCACACGTCACTGCTACAGCCACACGTTACTACAGCCGCACGTTACTGCTACAGCCACACGTTACTGCTACAGCCACACGTCACTGCTACAGCCACACGTTACTACAGCCACACGTTACTACAGCCACACGTTACTGCTACAGCCGCACGTTACTACAGCCACACGTTACTGCTACAGCCGCACGTTACTACAGCCACACGTCACTGCTACAGCCACACGTTACTACAGCCACACGTTACTGCTACAGCCGCACGTTACTACAGCCACACGTCACTGCTACAGCCACACGTTACTGCTACAGCCACACGTTACTGCTACAGCCACACGTTACTACTACAGCCACACGTTACTACTACAGCCACACGTTACTACAGCCACACGTTACTACAGCCACACGTCACTGCTACAGCCGCACGTCACTGCTACAGCCGCACGTTACTACAGCCACACGTTACTACAGCCACACGTTACTGCTACAGCCACACGTTACTGCTACAGCCACACGTTACTACAGCCACACGTTACTACAGCCACACGTTACTACAGCCACACGTTACTACAGCCACACGTTACTACAGCCACACGTTGCTACAGCCACACGTTGCTACAGCCACACGTTGCTACAGCCACACGTTGCTACAGCCACACGTTGCTACAGCCACACGTTACTACAGCCGCACGTTACTACAGCCGCACGTTACTACAGCCGCACGTTACTGCAGCCGCACGTTACTGCTACAGCCGCACGTTACTGCTACAGCCACACGTTACTGCTACAGCCACACGTTACTGCTACAGCCACACGTTATTACAGCCGCACGTTATTACAGCCACACGTTACTACAGCCACACGTCACTGCTACAGCCACACGTCACTACAGCCACACGTTACTACTACAGCCGCACGTTACTACTACAGCCACACGTCACTGCTACAGCCACACGTTACTGCTACAGCCACACGTTACTACTACAGCCACACGTTACTACAGCCACACGTCACTGCTACAGCCGCACATTACTGCTACAGCCACACGTTACTACATTCACACGTCACTGCTACAGCCGCACGTTACTACAGCCACACGTTACTGCTACAGCCACACGTTACTACAGCCACACGTTACTACAGCCACACGTTACTGCTACAGCCGCACGTTACTACAGCCACACGTTACTGCTACAACCACACGTTACTACTACAGCCGCACACTGCTACAACCACACGTTACTACTACAGCCACACGTTACTGCCACACTTACAGCCACACGTTACTACAGCCACACGTTACTGCTACAGCCACACGTTACTGCTACAGCCACACGTTACTACAGCCACACGTTACTACTACAGCCACACGTTACTACAGCCACACGTTACTACAGCCACACGTCACTGCTACAGCCACACGTTACTACTACAGCCGCACGTTACTGCTACAGCCACACGTTACTACTACAGCCACACGTTACTACAGCCACACGTCACTGCTACAGCCGCACGTTACTGCTACAGCCACACGTTACTACATTCACACGTCACTGCTACAGCCGCACGTTACTACTACAGCCGCACGTTACTGCTACAGCCACACGTTACTACATTCACACGTCACTGCTACAGCCACACGTTACTACTACAGCCGCACGTTACTGCTACAGCCACACGTTACTACATTCACACGTCACTGCTACAGCCGCACGTTACTACAGCCGCACGTTACTACAGCCACACGTTACTACAGCCACACGTTACTGCTACAGCCACACGTTACTACAGCCACACGTTACTGCTACAGCCACACGTTACTACAGCCACACGTTACTACAGCCACACGTTACTACAGCCACACGTTACTGCTACAGCCACACGTTACCTGCATTACACAGGTACAGTACACAGGAGCCAGACGAGTCAACAACAGGGTCAGAGCAGAGGCTGGAAACTGAGGTTCTGGAAGAACATGTGGCAGAAAGAGGCAGCACATTACAGCAGTATGATAGAAACTACACACAGCTCCTGTGCACACAGCTCCTGTGCACACAGCTCCTGTACACACAGCTCCTGTGCACACAGCTCCTGTGCACACAGCCACACGTTACTGCTACAGCCACACGTTACTGCTACAGCCACACGTTACTGCTACAGCCACACGTTACTGCTACAGCCACACGTTACTGCTACAGCCACACGTTACTGCTACAGCCACACGTTACTGCTACAGCCACACGTTACTACAGCCACACGTTACTGCTACAGCCACACGTTACTGCTACAGCCACACGTCACTGCTACAGCCACACGTCACTGCTACAGCCACACGTCACTACTACAGCCGCACGTTACTGCTACAGCCACACGTTACTGCTACAGCCACACGTTACTGCTACAGCCACACGTCACTGCTACAGCCACACGTTACTACAGCCACACGTTACTACAGCCACACGTTACTGCTACAGCCGCACGTTACTACAGCCACACGTTACTGCTACAGCCGCACGTTACTACAGCCACACGTCACTGCTACAGCCACACGTTACTACAGCCACACGTTACTGCTACAGCCGCACGTTACTACAGCCACACGTCACTGCTACAGCCACACGTTACTGCTACAGCCACACGTTACTGCTACAGCCACACGTTACTGCTACAGCCACACGTTACTACTACAGCCACACGTTACTACAGCCACACGTTACTACAGCCACACGTCACTGCTACAGCCGCACGTCACTGCTACAGCCGCACGTTACTACAGCCACACGTTACTGCTACAGCCACACGTTACTACAGCCACACGTTACTACAGCCACACGTTACTACAGCCACACGTTACTACAGCCACACGTTACTACAGCCACACGTTACTACAGCCACACGTTACTACAGCCACACGTTACTACAGCCACACGTTGCTACAGCCACACGTTGCTACAGCCACACGTTACTACAGCCGCACGTTACTACAGCCGCACGTTACTACAGCCGCACGTTACTGCAGCCGCACGTTACTGCTACAGCCGCACGTTACTACAGCCACACGTTACTGCTACAGCCACACGTTACTGCTACAGCCACACGTTACTACAGCCGCACGTTATTACAGCCACACGTTACTGCTACAGCCACACGTTACTACAGCCACACGTCACTGCTACAGCCACACGTCACTACAGCCACACGTTACTACTACAGCCGCACGTTACTACTACAGCCACACGTCACTGCTACAGCCACACGTTACTGCTACAGCCACACGTTACTACTACAGCCACACGTTACTACAGCCACACGTCACTGCTACAGCCGCACATTACTGCTACAGCCACACGTTACTACATTCACACGTCACTGCTACAGCCGCACGTTACTACAGCCACACGTTACTGCTACAGCCACACGTTACTACAGCCACACGTTACTACAGCCACACGTTACTGCTACAGCCGCACGTTACTACAGCCACACGTTACTGCTACAACCACACATTACTACTACAGCCGCACACTGCTACAACCACACGTTACTACTACAGCCACACGTTACTGCTACAGCCACACGTTACTACAGCCACACGTTACTGCTACAGCCACACGTTACTGCTACAGCCACACGTTACTACAGCCACACGTTACTACTACAGCCACACGTTACTACAGCCACACGTTACTACAGCCACACGTCACTGCTACAGCCACACGTTACTACTACAGCCGCACGTTACTGCTACAGCCACACGTTACTACTACAGCCACACGTTACTACAGCCACACGTCACTGCTACAGCCGCACGTTACTGCTACAGCCACACGTTACTACATTCACACGTCACTGCTACAGCCGCACGTTACTACTACAGCCGCACGTTACTGCTACAGCCACACGTTACTACATTCACACGTCACTGCTACAGCCACACGTTACTACTACAGCCGCACGTTACTGCTACAGCCACACGTTACTACATTCACACGTCACTGCTACAGCCGCACGTTACTACAGCCGCACGTTACTACAGCCACACGTTACTACAGCCACACGTTACTGCTACAGCCACACGTTACTACAGCCACACGTTACTGCTACAGCCACACGTTACTACAGCCACACGTTACTACAGCCACACGTTACTACAGCCACACGTTACTGCTACAGCCACACGTTACTGCATTACACAGGTACAGTACACAGGAGCCAGACGAGTCAACAACAGGGTCAGAGCAGAGGCTGGAAACTGAGGTTCTGGAAGAACATGTGGCAGAAAGAGGCAGCACATTACAGCAGTATGATAGAAACTACACACAGCTCCTGTGCACACAGCTCCTGTGCACACAGCTCCTGTACACACAGCTC